GACATGCCAGGAATTCAAACCTCGTTCACATGATGATTAAGGGGAGTGGCTCAGGAAATTTTCTGTTCATGACACATGTGAGTATGAATCTTAGACGAAAAGGGTAGCCTGAGCTGTATTACGACAAAAGTCACAACAAGCGCACGGGGCTGCTTTGGCCACACAGCTGGACGAGTAACTTGCCAGAAATCCGTGTCAGACTCAAGAATTATTGCATGCAGGCTGTAGTAGGTGTTTATCCAAAGATGGATCTTGTTTGGATTTAGTTGCGATACGATGTTAACATGTTTGTACCGAGTTTAACCCTTTCAGGGACAGCGGTTACGACAGTGGACAGCTTATTATGTTACCAGGTCACAGGGTGCATGAAAGGGTTCATAAGGCAGGCGTCAAAATCACTGTCACTGTCTCACGGGCTAGTATTTACGACGACGGAAGGAACAAACGAAAAAAAAAATGTCTCCATCTCAAATTCCCTGGCTGAATTTGGGGCCCGGTTGCGTCAAAGTGACAGTGACCTTTTAGCATTCTTCACTGTCATTTGCGTGGCAATTAGGCGCTCATAGAGCGAGAGTCGCTCAAAATATGCCGAAGTCTCTGGGAATTTTTACAGGTCTTGCAAGATGCGCAGGGGTTTCCCACCACCTTGTGCTTAATGGCGGGGGGGGGTTGACGGTTGATTTGATCCTGATTTTGCCCCTTTCCGATCAAAGACATTGAATGGTCAACTCCTCTTACGTCTTAAGAAGATTGTTCTCCAAAGATGATCCTTTATTGTATGTTTGGGCCAATGACCGGGTCCAAAAACAAGTCGGGCCGATAATCTAAACGATGCACTTCTTCGATATTTCTGACCCAAAAATCTTCACTTGTGTGGGGAAAGCCGGCAAGTCGAAACTCATTTGACTCTGCGGACGGTGATGTGAATGGAAAGCAGCCAATCAAAAAAGCGGTCTGAATGTCATACCCGACACTATTTTTTGGGGGATAAAAGTGGGGTCCCCAGACGCCAAGACGTAGTTTCCAAAGCAAGTCTTAACGACAATACGCAATCAGTATTCTATGCATCAGCGCAAAAAAAAAAAAAAAACAACAACGGGAGTTTCTGTTCTTCTTTGTTTTCTGCTTCGGAAGACTTTGTTTCGAGATTGGACAGTGGAACAGAATCTTAATTGTACTTGAAAAGGGTCTGAAAGGGTCTGAAAATGGCCGGCATTTTTCAAGTACAGTCAATATAAAATGAGGAGCTGGGATTAAATGTGTGGCGTCTGAAAAGACATCTAAATACGTCTTTGGGAGTGAATGAGTTTTAATGTGTGTGGCGCTGTGTTGAGATGATCGCAGCAGACCACACACAAAATACGAGCAAACCTAAATACTTTTGAAAAATGCTTGTGTTCATTCAGGCCTGAATTTTTAGAAATAAATGCTCACCGAGTTCACATCTCTCCACATATTTGCAAAGTTCTCGCCAGATTTGCTGGAGATCTTGTGGGTGAGATTTACAGAGTTTACAGAGATTCGGAGAGGTTCTTTGGGACATTTTTTTTTGCAGTGGTTTTACAGTATTGTCAGAGGTCTCATGAGATCTACAGGTGGTCCTTGAGATTTGCCGAGGTCTGGCTGGATTTGATGATGCCTCGTAATGCTCTCCGGATATCCTCAGTGATTTTTCAACATTTCGTAAGTATTGTAGAAGTTTGCGAGCGTTGTGGGCGATCGGCAGGATTTGTAGCAGCCTCGGAGGGTTTGCGGAGGTTCGACAATATTTTCAGAGGCCGTGCGAGATTTGCCCGAGGGGGTTGAGAGATTTGAAGAGGGTTTACGATATTTGCTGGGGTCTTGCCGAATAAGCGGAATTTTCGCAGGACTTTCAGACATTGTGTGAGATTTGCAGAGAGTTCACCAGGGATTTGCAGAATTGCAGTGACGTTTTACAGATGTTTCAAAGGGTTGACGGATTTTTGTTTTCCCCCCCATAGCTGCATGAGTCTCGCGGTATTTGCAAATTACTCTGTATGGTGTTTTTCCAAAATGTTGATAAAAATGAAACCTTTTCGAGGCTTCTTGGGAGAATTTTTGTTCTCGCTCAGACTTTTGGACAACTTCAGAGAGATCTGAATGTAGACTCGCGCTGTGACAAATTGGCTATACTTAGCCTTCCCAACATTTGTGGGGGTTGAAATTTTTCAGGGCGCACCAGGAACATACGCACAAATTCACAGGTAGGAGAAGAGTACAAAAGAGAGCGCCGGGAACGAGCTTGAATGAAAGGAGGACTTAAAAGTACATCCATGATAAGATGTTTACCCGGCAAAGAAAGCCGCAATCACACAATTCCATAAGCACGACATTCACAACAAAACAAACCCCGTCCGTCAATCTCAAGCGTTGGAATATCCTGAACCGAGTTCTTGAAATTCACGTTGGCAGCCGGCCTGGCGACTCATCTCGGGGTTTGGACGGCAGCTTGAAGAAATCTGGCCCCTGATTCAGCGTCAGGAATGCGAGGAGGCGACATCGACAAGCAGCCATCGCTGGCACGTATCCCCCCGCCCCCCCCCCCCCCCCCTTTTTTTTTTTTTTTTTTCAAAGGAGCAACCGCAGGAATGCGGAGATGCTCCTGCGGATATTTTTAACACATTAAAGCTCGGAACAGAGCTCATTATTACCGTGGCTGTCAGATGAAACTTGCAGCCACTTGCGTAACTCTTTTCGTGATGCGGTGTTTTCTTTTTTACTTGACTGGGTCAGCGGGTGCGAGGTGAATGCAATGACAGTCTGCTATGTTTAGCCCTAACGACATAATTGCACACATTTTTTTCTACCCCCCCCCCTCCTTGTCTTTTGACAAAAAGAGGTGCAGCGGTATTCTCGAGGAGGAACAAAGATGGCTATCAAAGCGTGTGAAATGAAGGGATGGGGGGGGGGGGCACAATTGGCTTGTAATGAGGACATTCACAGCCACTTTGTGCCACATTGATAGCTTTCATCTTTCAGAGTCGTGGATTTGTCGCTCTTTTTAATTCTGTGTCTTGTCAGTCATTAAAAAGGTACGGCAGGGTGGTTTGTGTTTTTTGTACTTTCATATTAAGAGCAGTGGACTTGATTTTACACTTGTATGAATGGATTCTTTTCGATAGGCAATTTATAGATAGATATCCAAAAGGTGTGTGTGTGTGTGTGTGTGTGTGTGTGTGTGTGTGTGTGTGTGTGTGTGTGTGTGTGTGTGTGTGTGTAATGGATGTAGAATAAATGTACATTTTCAAACTGGAACCGTTTATTTATATGTATGCCAAAGCAGACAAGTTCCTTTTCGTGTTTTTAAATTATGGTAGGGAGGGTTTTTCTTTTTTTTTTTCTATGAATATTTACCAATGTATTTTTTTTTTTTTTTGTGATTTGTCATACTAATTTTAAGATTTAAAAATGTCTGATAGGTACTAAGCTGAACAACAACAATGCAAACCTTGAAAATGTAATATTTTTGATCACACCAATTATAAGTAAAGGGATGAAAATTTAACTTTTTCAAAAAAATGACAGATGACAATTTTCATCATTATTTTGAATGAGAATTTTTTTTTTTTTTTAATGAAGTGGAAACCAATTTTTTTTTAATTAGTATAATTCATCATACTCGTTTGGAGATTTTAAATATCCGCTACAGATTAGTTAAATTATTTCAAACAGAAAAAGAAAATACCACCCGTTGAAAAGTTTCATTTTTAAATTCATTTTTAAGCACATTACTCCTTTTTCATTTTATCTTTGACCATGGAACCCGTTTAATTCTCAATGCATGCTTTCCAATTGAATTGAGTTTTTTGTTTCCCCTCCTTTCTCTGAAGAGCGCAAAAAAAAAAAAAGCTCATCATAGCACATCAACGGTCGGAAAGTTAGCGCAGCCCGTTTAAAAAGAGAGAGAAATCAAAGATGCAGTAAATAATGGATGCCAATGAAAAAATCATGCCCTTTAAATGTCACCAAACCCTCCAAAATATGCCATCAAATATACATCAGGTTGTACTAGACCCGCAACATGTATCAACAAATGTTACAAAGAGAGCACCGTATCGCTTTGGTTGTGTCCTTTTTCTCATCTCGTGTTTGCCTACACACAGAAATAGAGAAGCGCGCGGGATTGTTATTACCAGAAGAATAAAGAATCACTCTTGGAGCACCTGTTCAACCAGCGGCTGGGCATCTGTTCCCCCCTCCCCCAAAAAAACCCTCTTCTACATTTTCATATTCAACGACAGTCACGCCTGTTGTGCGCATTTTTCAAAATGGATTGCGTATTGCTTTTCACTCGAGATGAGACGAGATTTCAAGGACAATTTGTCACGCTTTCAACCGCCGTTTCTCCGACTGGCAGCTCGAAATATGCCAACGCTGATGGTTTTAATTCTCGTTTTATTGACGAGAACAATGAGCAGAACTCGCCACGGAAGACTGTCAGAAAAAGATCATTTATTTTGCTCAGGATGTTTTGGTGTTGCCATGCTTGACCTCCCGCCCTTAAATTGCATCACTGTTAAGAATGGGAGCGACTGTCCGAACTTTTTCAATAAACTTTTTGAATATTGTGGGGTTTTTTTTTTTGTTGTTTTTTTTTTTTGTTTGTTTACGTCTGCGTAGATTCTCAGTTATCCAAGTCATTGTCATTCATAGAGAATCAAAAATTTAATCAAAGCCACTGGACTTGTTTGTTGAATTGTTTTCTGAAAACACTAAAAGAGCCTGAGGCACTTCGGGTCATTAGCAAACAAAACGATCAATATGCGGGCTGCACGTGAGCCAATATCAAGAAGCTGTTTTGAATTGTGGGTTAGCACAAAAGTCTCCTTTGAAAAATTTGTTTTCTACACATCTTGAAATCATGTGAACAAAGTCACTAACAACATTTGATCACGACATGAGGTCAAATGCTTTGGGATTTTCCCCAAGAGTTTGTTGTGCTAACAAATAAATTAAAAAAAAAAAAAAAAAACACTCACCAAAACTTTTAACACAAGGCGATGGCAACGATGACACAATAGAGCACCTGAAAGAACACAACAGAACACACAACGCTCAGAATCAAGCTGGGGAACAACACGAGTACACAAAAATAAATACATTTAAATACACGTCATTTTTTTCATCTGCGTTGTCCAATCTCTGGCGGCGAAAGTTTGCCTCTCGCCGCTGTTTCTTTCCGCCAAGTTTGCATTGAAGCGCAACGCAAACAAAGTGAAACCAGGCAACTTTTGACGTTAGGGGATAGATCGAAAAAGATAATTGTGAGTGAAATTGCTATTTCTGGCGCGGGGGAATGTCCTACATTCTCTTTGGATGCAGGTAAAAGTGGGGGCGGCGTGATTTCTTTATTTTATTTATTTTCTCTTTGTCTCCAGGGCCCCCACCCCCCCCCCCAAAAAAAAGATGTACGCAAGCCTTTTGTTCCCGTAAATTGACAGTGTCAGTTTCCCACACGGCGGCGTATACTACAGGGAACAACAGTAGCGGCGCTGGGATACAATACAGATGCTCCGCGCGATGGGCGTCAGTCAACGTGACAGTTGTTTTCTTTTCTTTTAAAATGAAGGAAGGAGGGAGGATGGGTCTCCTTTTTTTTCTGAACTTCCTAGCCGAGGAAGGCGAGGAAGGAATAGGAATTAATACACCTACACCCCCCCCCCTCTTTTTTCCCTTTAGGACGCCATGCATCCTCTTCTTCTTTTGTACTCGCATCGTAATTACGGGTGGGCGCCAGTTTGGATGTGATCCAGGCCGCCTCCTTCACACTTTTTTTTTTTTTTTTGCAAGTATAATTTCCTGACAAGCGAGACTTTTCCTCAACTTTTTACTTGTGCGTGTGTTAGGGAACAAAACAGTGGTGCTTATTTGTTTATTTCTGGACAAGCACAGAGAAAACAGGATATATGTTTAAAAAAAAAAAAAAAAAAAGGACAAAAAGTTTTTGTGCGCTATTTCGATGATACACTGTTTTTTTTTTTTTTATTATGAAAGATATGCGGCAATGCACATCACGTCTATGCTTACGTCCGAAAAGTGTTGCACTTGCATCCTCACTGTTTTTTTTTTTTTTTGCGATTGACCAAAAAGTTTAAAAGTAATGTTTCCAAATACAGTACAAAGCTTTACATTCACAACCCAGAAAAAATATACTGTTGCAATTTATTTTCATTCACTCAGCAAAGTCAAGCAAGGTATTGAAAAGCAACAATTGTCCAGAAGCCTTGAGGAAAAATTCAATCACAAAAGCAATGATGCTTCTTTCTACCCTTTCTTCTCTTGCTGCTGCTATTTTTGTGAACGACATAAGATGTCTTTTTTTTTTTTTTTTTAATAGGCTAATGCATCACCATGGAGATGAGTTCCATCAGGCTGTGGGCAAACCTTATTGGGCCATAACACACTAATAGCCTGGAAATGGTCGAGCAGAGGCAATGAAAAATACATCGAGCCATGAACACACCTGGCCTTGTGCTTGTGTATTTATAGCCCCTTTGCAGCTTCAGTAAATGCATACGTTCGCTTTGTCAAATACACAAGGGACAGAACATGCGAACCCAAACAAACAAACTTAACCTTTTGCAAAAAAAAAAAAAAAAAAAATTAGGAGATGAGAAGAACATAATCAAAGCAAGACTCTGGTGTCCACTTTGTGTTTTATTGTTTTTACGCGACGATTAACCGCCATTGTGAAAATGGGAGATGCAACTTAGCTTCTGCATGACGCCTTTGTCATTTATCATTTAAGTTTGGGCTACCGTTGGGTGTTTAAATTTAGTTTGCATATAGCCTTATCCGAACCGAACCAAACATATAAACAAGCAGAAATTCGTGAAAAAGTGCGTGATCGGTGAACGGGATCAAAGCTTTTAATGGCCGATCGATCACCCGATGACAAACTTGCCCAATGTTTTTCTTTCCTCGGTATCCCGTTATTTTTAACCAGTAATGGTCTATGTATCGCTAATGAAAAGTGAGGAATTGACCTGGACTATTTCACACACAAGTCACGGTTTGATAAAAAAAAAAAAAAAAAAAGTGACAAATATTAACCCATGACGCACATTAAAACACACATTTATGATCCACACCGCACGCTACTGTGTTGATACGGTATACAACTGGTTAATCCATCAATGAAATATTTTCTGGGACAAGCCACTAAAAGATGCGTTTAGACATGACATAAGAAGCTTCGCACTCCACTGTCACACACTTAGGAGAGCATTAACAGCGCACCGTTAAAGCTTTTAAGCGTACCACCACCAAAAAAAAAAAAAAAAAGTTTCCATTCGGTTAAGCTGACTTTTTCTGCTTGTTTTGTTTTGTTTTGGACCTCAGTGGAATCTAATTTAAGGTAATCAGAATTAAGAACCAAATGCAAACCAGAAAAAAAATTGTGATTGACAAATGAGTCTTGCATAATAGACGCTTTCACCCAGCAATAAAATGTCGGCTAATGTGAAACAATCGAACTTTTCATCATGTTTCGTAAATGGTCAGGTGGGAAGAATTAAAGCATTTTATCCTCACGTGGGGTCTGGAACAGACACATAAACAATCTCTTAAGGCTAAAAAAAAAAAAAAAGCATCCACAAGTGAGGTCTCATAAGTCCGCTTAAGTCTCATGCTGATGGCATATTTGGCGACGTTCCGAACTCGCGATTTGACATGCATTTCTTTTAAGACATTCATGCAATCAAACATAAAAAGACGGAAAACGTTTAATTCGGGTAAATGAATAATCGGCCGATGAAACATTTTACGGTGATAAATGTTTGCCTTACATCAAGCACGCTGGACTACACGGAACATAAAGCGGTGCGCCAGCGTGATGTATGGATGCGGTGTAAGAACTTAAGTCCCGAGTGTAACATTGCCACAACACACACACACACACACACACACACACACACACACACACACACACACACACACACACACACACACACACACACAGGCGGCCAGGAAAATGATTTGGGTCAGTAGGTAATTGCATTCTGGGACCACGGGGGACATGTCGGCAATTAATGCCACCGACGGCGAGTCAGTGGAAATACGCTCGCTCGTCCCGTTTGCCACGTGTCAAAATGGTGACGGATGTTGACACCTTTTGACTCAGCACAAAGTCCACGAAGAGACTGGGAAGTTGCGGGACAAAACAAAAACAAAAAGCGTTACTTTATGTTAGCGGAAAATGATAGCTCTTGGCGCTCAATTCATTGCTAGCTAGCCTCAACGCTAGGGTGGTGGCTACGGGTTAAGTATTAGGTTTAGCTTTAGGAAGGATTTAGGGTTCGGGTTACAGGTCAAGGGTTAGGTTGAGGGTCGTTTCCTCACGTCCTTGCTGCTTATGTCATCCGAACATTAGTGCATATTTAATTTTTATTCTAAACGGCCGTGTTGTTTGGCAACGGGCCACCACAGTCATTTGAGCGTCTTTCGAGGCTGCCATCTGAGAGTGTATCAGTCTCACACACACAGCGCTAAGTGTGTCCCGTTAGCCTGCAGCGGCCCGGCTGCCTAATCTCGGTTTAATCACTTAGCGGCATCCCATGCTGAACAAGAGGGGAGGAGGATGCAGGGAAATGTCATTTCTGGCACGGCGCTAGTTTGGCTGTCCGGGACAGTTAGCTTCATGACGATGCATTTCCTTGACTGGTTAAAAATTGCTCATCGACAGGAAGTGGAAATGTGCACCAGGACTTGGATAATATGAACGGCTTTCGTTTTGACTGCCAACATCTAGTAGCACATCCAGTGAAACGGTAGCAACTCATCCTTAAAATTGTAACTTTTTGTACACAGAAAAATGGAACAAACTGACACAGGTAACGCTCGATTGAAGCCTCATAGAGCTAGCGGTTGGTTATTCAATCAACCCGACCGGCTTGAGAGGGCCTGGGAGGGTTAACGGGATAAATCCAAAAATCCTTCAAAAGTGCTTCGAGCCCAAAAGGAATAAATGGAAATACGCTGCCACAACGATGGCACGTGTGCGGATAATCTCCGATCGGCACTCACAAACCGTCAACAGTAAATAGCTGTTTGTGAAGGGGCTAGCAGGATTTAAAGATGACTTTAAGCGGGAAAAACAGAAAGTAATCAAAACCTTTAAAGTGATTAATGACAGACAGATAATCTGCACTTGAGCTGGGTCGGGATCGGCAGCGGGTGTAATTGCTCCCGTTAATCATGTATTAATTTGTTGACTCGAGATTTCTTTTCGGACAAGTTGCCAGCATCTTGAAATTAAGGACACGGAAAAGAAGTGTGAGGCCAGATTACGTTTCTAAACGATGTAGCGCAACGGTCAGTAGGCCTCTTAAACTACCAGACAAATTACTGTTCATTAAAAGAACTCCCTTAAAAAATAATAATAATAATAATTCATGCAACAATTTCAAGCGAATGCTGTCGTTGAGCCGGAATCAGAAAGACACCGAAGTGAACAAGTTACAGGCCTCTTCAGATCAATTCCCAGATTGCAATGCTCCTTATCATGACATTTTCACCAATTTCCCTCAATATTTTCACAGCACAGTGACCCATTTTCAACAAGGTCAAAATGGCGTGTATCTTTTTGTTACCCTTTTCAGTAAAAAAGGGTGCCTTTCGAAATGCAAACTTGCAGCCTAGAGGGAAAATTTTTGAATTCCAAAACCAGCTCTACACATATGACGAGTCAAATGTCATTACAACTAGACACCAGCAGTGTATAGGGCTTGAGCTAGCTTCAAAAGTGTGTGATAATTATCGCACAATGACCATTTTTTGGTGTTAAAAAAATGCAAGGGGGACACACTTTCATAAGATCAGTCATGTAAATAAATAAATGCCCAAAATGCCTTTTTGTTTTTTTTTGTTTTTTTCCCATTTTCATTACAAAACATAAAAGGTATGATAACAGTAAGGTACTGTAGGTGGGCGCTAAACTAGCTTCAAAGCTGAGCAATGTGTCACTTTCACAGATAAATGTGTTCAGCTTTAAAGCAGAAATGGTTGATTCGATTCTATCCTTTTTAA